TGTAACTACACATTGGCTGAAAAGTTAATTTTTAATGCTTAAGAAACTATTCAGGGGCCTATATTCAAAGATGCTTCATGATCATTTAAACCAGGGTTTGGCAAACTACAGCCTGCAAATTGGGGTAGAGAGAGACTTTCCCTATAAAATAAGACTGACTGAGCTACACAATTCAAACAAGGCAGTTTTGGTGTAGTGGATCAATGGAATAGGACAGACAGCCCAGAGATAGACTCATATGTATAACTCTGTAAATGGTAGAGGTGGCATTACAAATCAGTGGGGAAGATATTTACAAGATCTGTATGGAGGATCTTATAAGTGAAAAACATTAACATTTAAAAATTGGAGAAATATATTCCACAGATAAGAAGACTCCATACCACAAAAATGTCAGTTGTCCCCAAGTTGGTCTGCAGATTAAAATCCATCTCAGTACAGTTTTTTTTGGTGAAAATTGACAAGCTAATTCTAAAATTTATATGGAAGAGCAGAGGCCCAAGGATAAGGAAGAGGCTCCTCAAGACGAAGCGGGAAAGCTTTCCCTAATACGTACCAGGACTTACTATAAAACTTTAGTAATTCAGATGAGTGAAACTGGCACAGAGATAGAAAATTTGACCATTGGAGCAGAACAGAGAGCCTAGAAGCTGAATATTTGTATGGAAACGTTGGTAGACTGTTTATTACCTAGAGGAGCACACACAAAAATCACCTGGAAATCTTTTTAAGAATTCACATAACCAACCTCACCCAAATGTACAGGATAAGACATCTCCAGGGAAGGTGCCCTTAAACACCCATCATTAGGGAACCCTATTGAAATATTTCATGATACAGAAATGTGTTCACAACATACTGATCAGCTGAAAAGTTACCTCTGGAACCCAACTTCCAACTTAAGGATGGACAAACTTCTGGGTGGCTGGTGGAAGAATAACCTCTCTTCAGGAAAGCCTCCACCTCATTCCCAGAGAGGTGAGCGCCTATCTTCAGGACCTCAACAGGAAAACTGTGTGCCAAGAGCCAAATTTCAGACAGCATACACTTAATGTAGTAACAGTAGAGAAAGAACAAAGAAGCCGACATCTGGGTCCTGGTCTGACACTTAGAGGTACGTCTGGGTGGTGGCAGAAGCTGGCCTGGTGCTCCCAGCTAGGCCCCGGTGATCTCCTTCTGCACACAATCTTACAGAACCACATCAGACAAGCTCACTCTGACTAATGAAGGGAGACAACACAAGACTACGTCACAGTTTTGTCTAAACACAAACACAAGATCTCTGCAAACCACACGATACCAAACACCCCTCTCCTGGCTAATGGGTGACTGCAGCTTCTTCACCAGTTGCAGCTTTAGTCTAGCTCTAATCTTCCCTCCTTCTAGATAGGATCATGCTGAAATAGCTAATCAAAGACTTGACCCTACTTCTGAACAGCACCCAATCCAGAGTGAACCTCTGCATCTCTGGACTCCCCAAATCAGCTAACCAAAGCCCAACGTCCAACACCCTCTCACTGAGCTGCCCCTCACTTCCCTAAGGTATGCCCGTGATGTGCAGACTTCCTGTTGCAACAGCGTTAAACCCAGCCTGTTCACAGACAGGTGTTTGCCAGGAGGCGTTTGGCTGAAGGGCATCAACACAGTGTTGTCCCCTTCCACCAAAATTAGCATTTTGCAGGGTAAACTTAGAACCAAGGAGGTACTGTTACTGAACCAAACTTGGGTCTGCTCGCCTGCACACAGTAAAGCCAATCTACCAACACGGGGCCGTGGAGAAGGAAAGTGCAGTGTACTGCAGGGCTAAGCAAGGAGTATGGGTGGCTAATGCTCAAAAAACCTGAACTCCAGATGGATTTCAGGGAAAGGCTTTGAAAGACAGGGTGAGGCAGAGGGTCTCAGGGTACCTGATCCGCTCCTAGACATTCTTCTGACTGGTTGGTGGTGAGGTAGTCAGGAGTCAACATCACCAACCTTCTGGTTCCAGCTGGTCTGGGGTCTATGTGCTTGTGGGCAGCACGAAGTCAACTTCTCCCACCTGGTGGCAGTTTCAGTATCTGCAGAACAGCTCAAAGGACTTGGCTCAGAATATTATCTATAGCCCTTGAGGAGGAACTAAAGGTCCTTGACTTTGTTTAATGGCTAAACTGTTATTATTTTTGTCTTGACTGTTTTCTTTTGTTTCTGCATTTTCTCATTCTCTGATTAAGTTTGCTCTTTGGAACTCAGGGAAGGCCTAGGCGGTTGAAGTTTTTCTACCAACAAGAGGCAGGTGGAGGATGTGGGGGGGGGGGGAGGGGGGGGGCCTGTCCAGGGAAGGACCAATAGGGGCCTGCATGGTTACACCTCAGGTTATACAGGTTATGGCAGGTACCTTGGTGATACTGCCAGTTTGGTTGCAGACCACTGCAATAAAGTGAATATCACAATAAAGTGAGTAACATGAATTTGTTGGTTTCCCAGTGCATATAAAAGTTATGTTTCCACTATACTGAAGTATGCAATAGCATTATGTCTAAAAAACACTGTACATATCTTAATCTAAAAATACGTTATTGCTTAAAAATGCTGACCATCATCTGAACCTTCAAGTCTTAATCCTTTTGCTGGTGGAGGGTCTTGCCTGGATGTTGATGGCTACTGACTGATCAGCGTGGTAGCTGCTGAACGTTGGGTGGCTGCAGCAATTCTGATTGACATCTATACACTAATATGTATAAAATAGAGAACTAATAAGAATGTGCTGTATAAAAATAAATAAATAAATAAAATTAAAGGAAAAAAAAGTCAGCAATGAAGTTGCCACATCTATTGACTCTTCCTTTCATGAACGATTTCTCGTAGCATGCAATGATGTTTGATAGCATTTTACCCACAGTAGGACATCTTTCAAAATTAGAGTTAATCTTCTCAAATCACTATGTATGGCAGCTATAGCCTTACAAAATGTATATCTTAAACAATAAGACTTGAAAGTCAAAATGACTCCCTGATCCATGGGCTGCACAATGGATGCTGTGTTAACAGGCATGAAAACAACATAAATCTCATTGTACCTCTCCATCAGAGCTCTTGGGTGACCAGGTGCTTTGTCAATGAGCAGTCATATTTTGAAAGCAATCTTTTCTTCTGAGCAGGAGATCTCAACAATGGGCTTAAAATATTCAGAAAACCATGTGGTAAACAGATGTGCTGTAATCCAGGCTTGTTGTTCCATTTATAGAGCACAGGGAAAGTAGATTTAGCATAATTCTTAAGGATCCTAAGATTTTCAGAAAGGTAAGTGAGGGTTGGCTTCAACTTCAAGTCACCAGCTCCATTAGCCCCTAACAAGATAGTCAGCCTGTCGTTCGAAGCTTTGAAGTCAGGCATTGACTTCTCCTCTCTGGCTATGAAAGTCCTAGATGGCATCCTCTTCCAATAGACAGCTGTTTTGTCTGCACTGAAAATTTGTGTTTTAGTCTAACCACCCTCATTAATTATCTTAGCTAGATTCTGGATAACTTGCTGCAGCTACTACATCAGTACTTGCTGCTTCACCTGGCACTTTGATGTTACAGAGACAGCTTCTTTCCTTAAACCTCATGGACCAACCTCTGCTAGCTTCAAACTTTTCTTCTGCTGCTTCCTCACCTCTCTCAGCCTTCCCAGAACTGAAGAGAGTTAGGGCCTTGCTCTGGACCAGGGTTTGGCTTAAGGGAATGTTGTGACGGGCTTGATCTTCTATCCAGACCATGAAAACTTCTGTATCAGCGATAGGCTGTTTTGCTTTCTTATTATTGTGTGTTCACTGGAGTACCACTTTCAATTTCCTTCAAGAACTTTTCCTTTTCATTCACAACTTCACTAAATGTTTGCAAAAGGCCTAGCTTTCAGCCTATCTAGGCTTTCCACATGCTTTCCTCACTAAGTTTCATCATTTCTAGCTTTTGATATAATGTGAGAGATGTGTGACTCTTCCTTTCACTTGAGCACTTAAAAGGCCACTGCAGGGTTATGAGTTGGCCTAATTTCAATACTGTTGTGTCTCAGGGAATAGGGAGACCTGAGGACAGGGAAAGGACAGGGAAACAGCCAGCCAGTGGAGCAGTCAGAACACACACAACATAATCGATTAAGTTTGCCATCTTATATGGGCGCGGTTTGTGGCACCCCAAAACAATTACAGTAGTACCAGCAAAGATCACTGATCACAGATCACCATAACAAATAAAATAATTGTGAAAAAATTTGAAATATTGTAAGAATTGCCAAAATGTGACACAGAGACACAAAGTGAGCAAATGCTGTTGGAAAAATAGCACCAGTAGACTTGCTCCAAGCAGGGCTGCCACATACTCAATGAAAAACAAACCAAACCAAAACAAAACAAAAGGTAATAAAGTGAAGCAGAATAAAATGAGGTATGCCTGTATTACTAAATGAAATTCTAAGGCTTGGTAAGGATATAGACACTACAGATAACCTTCAAACAGGTAGAGGAACAAAGACAAATACACTGGACCCTTGAATGGGGGGTAGGAGAACCCACCCTCCATACAGTCAAAAGTCTCTATATAATTTATAGACAGCCCTCCATATGGGAGGTTCCAACCAACCTCTGCTCACGCAGTACAGTAGTATTTATTACTGAAAAAATTCTGCGTATAAATGAACCCGTGCAGCTCAAACTCATGCTGTTCAAGGGTCAACTGTATATGTCCTTCACTTAGGTCTGTGACAACATCTTAAGCTATTTGGAACACACCTAGACCTGGGGTAAACTTAAAATAAGTTCGGTAAATCAGTGTCTGTATTATTTTCTGTCTACATTTCATTTCTGATGTTCTTGTTTGGCAACTCGAACTTTCTGTAGAGTAGGTATTTGTTATAAGGACAAAACTACATCCAAGGTAATAACTTCTTCTTAATTAACAAAATTTGAAGTTATCACCAAAGCAGTTAGATTAACAATGAGCACATACATAGCTTGCCCAACTACTCAAGATTAGCAAACTCACCTGTCTCATTTATTCAAAGTCAAGGCCCTCTGTATCCTTGGGCTCTGTGTCCATGGATGCAATCAACTGCAAATCAAAAATATTTGAAAAAAATTTTTTTCCAGAAAGTTCCAAAAGCAAAACTTGAATTTTCCATGCACCAGCAACTATTTACATAGAATTTACATTGTATAAGGTATTATAACTAATCCAGAGATTGCTTAAAGGAGAATGTGTGTAGGTTATATCCAAATACCATGTCATTTTAGATAAGGGACTTGATTTTGGTATCCTCCTGTAACCATTCCCTAAGATACAGAGAGAAAACTCTACACATTTGTTAACATTGTCCTAGCCCCTACCAACTCCACCAATTTTCCCAGTTTCTGTTACTGAAACTTCTAAAGCCATTGCTGCATAAGCTACCATTAATTTTGAGTATTATAGGAAGTTTAAGCACAGGAAAATTATCCACAAAATGTAGAAGATAGGGCTGAGGCTGGTTATTTCTGAAATCCTAATGAAATCTTAACATTAGAATTTACAGATTTACAATAGATTCATTGATTTCCAGTCTTAACGCTGATCTACTCCTCTTTTTCTTTTTTCAAAAAAATAATTACAGAAAGAAATGATAACAGGGCATTTCTAAAAATACTGAGAGCTAAATGTCTTAGAACATTTACATCTCACGAGGGCCCATGTCTAGATTTTAAGAATTATAAAATAACTAATTTTGATATAGATATTTAGTGTTATACAATATATACTTGGTTATATATGGTTAAACATGAAAAGAACTAATTATAATTTATTTCCGGTAATTTTGCATCTTTATTGAAAGATACTTTTCCTCCCAATTTCTATTTTGAAAAGTTAAATAACTACTGAAGAGTTGTCAAAATAGAGCAATGAACAACCGTATACTCTACCTTTAGGTTCCCTATTTGGTAATACTTTGCCGCATCTGCTATCTCTCTTTCTCTGCCAGTGTATTTGTATGCATTTTTTGAGTTATTTGGTAATTAGTTGCAGCATCATGACTCTTCACCTCTAAATATTTCAGTGCGTACCTCCTAAGAACAAAGGACAATCTCTGCCATATCTACAATATAATTAACATAATCAGGAAAAGTAATGTCAATGCTACCGTCTCATGCAATTTATAGAAAGTTCCCCCAACTGTCCCAATTCTGATCTTTAGAGTTGTTGTTTTTAAATCCAGTTTCCAATTAAAGATCCTATGTTACATTCAAATGTCACATATCTCCTCTAATCTAATACTATTCCTGGCCTGTTTTGTTTTTCACAACATTGACATTTTTTTAAGAGTTCAGGTCAGTTATTTTGCAGAATGTCCCTCAATCTGGATTTGTCTGATTGTTTCCTTATGATTAGATTCAAGTCAGACTTTTTTTGGAGAAATCCTACATAAGTGAGGTTGTGTCCTCAGTGTATCCAGAGGGTGCATGATGTCAGTTTGTCCCATTACTGGTAATGTTAAGCTTGGTCACTTGGTCATGGTAATACAAGATTTCTCTAGTGTATGGATAACTTTTCCTCTTCATGGTAATTTGAGATTATGTAAATATCTTTACATAGATTTACATGTTTTTAATATATGGAAAACTTTTACCCAATGGTTTTCAAAATCCATCCATTTTCATGACATTTTTAATTACAAAAAACTTAGGAAATTTGGAAAGACTTGCTGCTGGTGATCTGTAAGGTATTGAGTGGGAAACCGTGATACTTAGAGTGATGGTATCTTAACTTTTCTTAATAAATATATGGGGGGCAAATTGAATAGAACCTGACTTTTTCTCTTATTGAAGAACGCTAATACCCTTATCAATAGTTCTACAGACCAGATGCAATTACTCTGCATTTGGACTATTAGAAAGTTTTAATGGAAAAACCCATAACTTTTAAAGATCTGTTTATTTCCTCTGCCACTGTATCTCACAGATAATTCACTGCACATGCTTTCTGATTTTTATTTTCTTCATTGCAAAACACACATTTGACTGGCTTAAGTTTACTGAGTGTCAGCTTGAGATAAAATGTGTTGGTTTTGGCTCACCTAATGAATTCCATTTCGGTTTCAATTTTATTATGTTACTAGCTTTCAAACATAAATCAAGTTCTAATGCTCTAATGGTACCAGCTCTGTACCATCCTTGGAAGAATTAAGAAAATAATCATTCAAATCATTTTCTGTAGGAGCCGTGGCTGAGAAAGGCTGAGCATCTAGTAGTGACACGTTGCCTCATTTCTCCACCTACCTGAAACCACACTTAACCTCACACCCCTAGATCCTTCCCCTGCCAAAAAAGCAAATAAACCTTCTAATCCAAGCCACCATATGCAAGTATGTTACTTTTACCAAGGTTTCAACTACTTTATTTCTTCCACCGAGGAAGATTAACTTAACATTCACCTCCTTTCCTGTTTTCTATAACATATACCTTAGTTAATGATACCTGTCTCTTTTTCTACCTCCGCTTCTACGTTCCACATGCCATAAGCCCTGGACAAACAACATGGGCCTTGGGCTTCTGAGAATCAAGAGTTCAAACCTATAATTCAGCAAAATCTAGATTTGAGGCCTTGGCAAATTCTTTGGTTTCTCTGGGTCTAAGCTTCCTCATTTATAAAATGAGAAAGAAAAAACTCTTACCTATTTCATGGGGTTGCAGAATGTTCCTTAATTTGGGTTTGTCTGTTATATGAATTGTATGTTATTCAGTTTTATATAACAATTATCATATTGCCTGAGTATATGAATTATAAACAGCATACGTAAGTGCCTGGTGCATGGTGGGCACACAGTGCTCACAGATGGTAGCTTTTATCTTTCTATGCTCTTTGCTCATCATCCAGAATACGAAGGTGAAAAAAAATCATCAGGTATGTGGGAAGCTTTGATTTATTCAAAGTCCAAATTCCACTGACTATATACACTTCTTGTGAAAAAGGAGCATACATATTTTTTAAAGTCAATAGCCTCAGAATTCATGTATTGAATTGACGACTGTCAATTTCCTGGATTTGCTCAAATCAAAGCAACAGAAGAAAGAAAAGGAATAAACCTGATGGTCAAATCACAATAGATGGTGAGTAAAAGGGAACAGTGGATAACTGGGAGATCAAATGGGAAATGAAGGAATTTTCTGTAATGATGGACATGTTCTAAATTATACTTTGAAAGCTGAGAGTAGTCTGGGTTAAAAGAGTATATGCACTTGTGAAACTCATCCAATTTAAGATTTGTACATTTGACCCCATGGAGATTTTGCCTTAAAAGAATTGTAAACAAATACTGACCTCCTCACATGAGTCATAGTATTTCTGGGTGAAGTGTACTAAGATCTGCATTAAAAAAAAAAAAAAAAAAAGATGGTTTGATGGAAGAACAGATGGAGGGACGTGATACAGCAAATATGGCAAAATGTTAACAACTGTAGAATACAGGTGGTGAATATATGGGTGTTCACTGTAGAAGTCTTTCCACTTTCCTGTATGTTCAAAAGTTTTCATAATAAAAACTTTGGACTATAAAACAAACAAATAGGGACTTCCCTGGTGATGCAGTGGTTAAGAATCCGCCTGCCAATGCAGACTACATGGGTTCGAACCCTGGTCCGGGAAGATCCCACATGCTGCGAAGCAACTAAGCCCATGCACCACAACTACTGAGCCTGTGCTCTAGAGCCCGCAAGCCACAACTACTGAGCCCGTGAACCACAACTACTGAGCCCGCACGCCACAACTACTGAAGCCCACGCTCCTAGAGCCCATGCTCCGCAACAAGAGAAGCCACCACAGTGAGAAGCCCACGCACCGCGACGAAGCATAGCCCCTGCTCGCCGCAACTAGAGAAAGCCTGCGCGCAGCAACGAAGACCCAACGCAGACAAAAATAAATTAATAAAATTAAACAAACACAATGTGAGAGGGCCACAAAGGCATTTGAAAAGCAGGATTCTAGGGCAGGCATTGCCTGACAGCTCACAGAACACCTCAGTGCCTCCTACCACCCCTTCCCAACTGTGTGGTCCCAGCGCAGGTTGGAAAAGAATTTCCAGGCACAAGGCAGAATGTGAGGAAGATAGAGTTTATTAAAGAGAAGGGTCGCTGCAAGAACAGCTGGCCGACTTCCTGGAAGCCAGGGAAAGCCGACCCTGAGCGTGGGTTCCCTCTCTGGTTTGTTTGTTTGTTTGTTTTAACATGTTTATTGGAGTATAACTGCTTTGCAATGGTGTGTTAGTTTCTGCTTTATAACAAAGTGAATCAGTTATACATATACATATATCCCCATATCCCCTCCCTCTTGCGTCTCCGTCCCTCCCACCCTCCCTATCCCACCCCTCTAGGTGGTCACAAAGCAGCGAGCTGATCCGAGCCAGCAATCCCACTACTGGGCATATACCCTGCTTGTCTGTTTTTATAGCCAGAGAACAAAGGGACTTCTGAGTCACCCGCTGATTGGGTAGGATCTGCATGTTTCCAGTGGGATGAATACCTTTCTGTATATGGTATGGAAAAGGAGCAAGGCATGCTGCTTGGGGAAGCTCAGAGATGTTGCAATGGTTGCTGCATGACAGTCATTAAGGGTCTGGTAACTCTCTGTTCCGACGATGTTGGCCCTTTTAGTTTATCTTGTTCATTGTCCTTGGAGCACACCACACCGACCACGCGAATCAAGCCCGAGGCAGCCTGGCCAGCCTCCGAGCCCTGGCGCTGGGGATCTGCCCCTTCTCTGCCCGGGTCGCCTCCTGCTCGCCCGGTCTCAGTCCGTTCTCAGCACACACTCATCACCTGGTTCCCAGAACTCAGATTGCGCAGTGGTCACGTCATCATCGACCAGGGCTCACAGTTACAGCGGCAGAGGCATCCCTAACCTCCCTCATCCGTAGCCTAACCGGCTCACCCTAATCTCCCAGCCCCCGGTTCCCTGGCCCCATTTCGCCTGACAAGTTTTCATAATCCTCTCAGGCTCCGCCAGCGGCGCCGCCAGCCATGCGGCCCGATCATATAAGGAAAATACAGCGGCTTCATCCGGAGCTGCATCGTGGACCCGGGGGCGCCCCTGACCTACGCCACTCGCTACACTCCACGCCTGCCAACCTCCCTGGGCCTGTCCCCCTCGCCTGCCCCGCAGTCTAGGCCTCTGCCCCTGGTCTGCGCAGCCGCTCTCCCCAGCCTGCGGGAGTCGCTCAGCCAATCCCCTCCCGCCGTCTTCCGAGCCTCCCCCACTCGACTTCCGGTCCGCAGGCAGCGCCCGGCCGCACCCCACCTCCTTCAAAGCAGTTCCACACTTTCGGCTGCCTGGTCACACGTTTAAGAAAATTCAGGAGTGGGGGTGAAGAGGCACGTTAATTACCTGTTGGGGGTAGCGGGGCGTAGATAGGATGGACAGGGTAGAGTCAAATCATTCTCTTGACAAGACAAGAGAGACAAAGTCTTTAAAAACAGCGATATGAGGAAAAAAATCCGCTTGCGAGGAACGTTCTCTTGTCCAAGGCCGGTCTCCCCGGGAGGTTTTGGTACCCTTGGTTCCCACGGGGTGGCGCAGAGGGCCGCGTCCTGCCAAAAGAGAGAGAGAGAGAGAGCCCTGGCCGAGCGGCGCGAAGTAGGTAAAAAGGCGCGGCCGGGGCCACGCTGGCGCCGCCCCGCGCGCTTAAAGTCCGGGTGCACGGGGCGGTACGTCAGCGTCGCCGAGGAGGACCCCTGCGCTGCCGCCCGCCGCCATGGCCCTGCTCCGAGGTGACCCCTACAGCCTCGCCTCTCTCGCCCCTGGTTGGTGGGGGGTGGGGAAGGGCCCGGTCCCGGCGGGGAGTCGAGGCCTCCTAGGCAGTAAAGGGGACTTGATAAAACCCCAACCCGAAAGCACTGTTTGGGTTTAGGAGAAAACATACTTGTCAGGCACTAGCGACAGTGATCTCCCGGCAACTTCCAGCTGAGAGTTGAGACCACGGTTTGCTTACTTCTGACCTTGAAGGTCATTTGCCTTCGCGCGGTAGTGACCCACCTAGTTCGAGGTTAGCTATTTGGAAGACTGGGGCGGCGCCATAAGCACGAGGCGGCCTGGGGCGGAGGGGTGCCTTTCCCAGGAGCCCGGCGGCCTCGGACTTGGTCGGAGGGTGGGCGGGGCTTGGGGGAAAGGAAGGAATGTTGTCTTGCAGTCGGCAGGGGATTTCCGTTCCCCCCCGCAGTGCTTGTTGGCGATCTGTTGGAGAACTTTCCTTAATCCCTTTCCCTTCTATCGAGTGAGTCCAGAAGAGTGCAGTCATTGAGTACATAAATTCTACAGTTATTAACTTAAAAAAAATATGTAAACTCCCTTTTCATAACAAATGGTCGCAGTCAGTGGAATAAGGATGAAAGCTCATCCTTACTTTATGTGTCCTTTGAAGAACCTTCAGATGGAACACTTTATATATCAAGGCCCCGGGCAGAAAAACACTTGGCGGGAACTGAGAACCATTATTCTGGTGGTCCAGGGCCCTGGGGGCTCTGTGAAGGAGGTGGGGTTTTATTCTAAATTCAAAAGAAGGCAATCTCCTACCTTAAAGTAGAATAACAGGATCTGATATCCAATCTGCCCCCATTTCCTCAGGGCTATGAGGCTGCCCATGTAGCAAGGAGGAGAATTTAAGAATCTATTGCAAAGGCCCAGGCAACATCAGATGATGGTTTTGACTCAAGTGGGGGGCAGTGGAGTTGGGGAAAAGGGGGAGGAATGATTTGAGATAGATTTGGAGTTGGAATTCACAGAACTTGGTGATAGGTTGGATGTGGCAGGTCAATGAGAAGGAAATGTCAAGAATGACCAGGTTTCTGGTTTGAGGAATTGTGTTCATGGTGATACTCCTTATGGAGTGAGGAAAACTGGGGAAGGGACAGATTTGTAAGAGAATATTGAGGTGCTCAGCAGATATCAGGTAGGCAGTTGGTTAGGGGGATCTGGAGCTCAGAAGAGCCAAAATGACATGTGAACAGTTCAAGTGAGAAATAGGTATTCTGAGACAAGAGGATTTAATTTAATTTGTCAGTGCTCTTTACAATTCTGAATTTAATAAAGCAGCATATTGATATTTTTTAGATGAGGTATTCAGAAAACCCAAATTATTTAAAAGCTGCATGGTCATGAGCTATCATCTTTAAAAGAAATTATATTTTTATTGATTTCTCAGTATAAGAATTTATCAGTGGTTCTGACCACTTTATTTTAATACAGACCCCTTGAAAATTTGATGAAAACTATGAACCCAGTAAGGGGAAAGGATGTACATCAACACCTGCATTAAGGAAGTATGAAGTTTATAAATTTGGGATACCATTCACTATGGTGTTAAAAGTTAGTGATCGTATTTTTATCCATTTCCCTGTTTTACAGGGAAACTGTAAACTGTTTTACAGGGAATGTTTCCCTGTTTTACTGATGTCCAGAAAGGTAGAATGGCTTGTTTCTAATGGTAGTTAGTGTCTTGATTGTTATTGGTTAGTTAGAATACATTACAGATACATACTGCTCTCAAGTAGCATACTAGGTGCTTGCAGGACTAGTGGGTAAGAGAGAATGTGTGACTGATTCTTGTGGGGAAAAGGACACATTTGAATGGGAGCATAATTGATTTTGGTAAAGATTGTCATTAATTTATCAGATTTCTGTTGAACCAATATCCCGGGTTTTTATTAGCACCAATCCCAGGACTTGGTAGAAGGGTTGCACTCAACAAATATTAACTCTCTTACTGCTCCTTAGCTTTGCTGGGAATGCTTGTGCAACCCTTCAAGGCAGGTGAGGTGGGCAGGCAGGGGCGGGGGTCAGGGAGCTGCCAGATTAATCCTGAAACTGAAGTGGATACAGAAGCAGCAGTTTTCCTTGTTAGCTTTGGTTGCTGTCTGCAGTTGCTGTAATTAAATGAGTAAATATTTGCCTAACAATGTAATAGAAAGGAAGGCAGAATTCCTCTTTCTCTTCTAGTGTTATTTTTCCTCTGTGGTCACATCTGCCACATTGCCAGGCCCTTTCCTGGTGTTTCTGACTCACTGTACTCTGGATTAATATGTCTTTTCATTGTCTTTCAGTAAAAATCTTTAACCTCTGAATTTTCAGAGCCTTTTAAAATACACAAGATCTTAGCTGGGTGTTACCGATTGTTAAGTTTTAGACCTTTCAACTTCCACATAAAATCGGCATCAGATCAAATAATTATTGCCATGGTATCCAGTTTATGAAATTACAGGAAAAAATCCTTTAGATTGTCTAGTCTTTGTACCTGCACATGCCAGATTATTTTTAAAAATACACTTAATAGCTTTTTCCCCACTCAAAATAATTGTATTAGTTCAGTTTTAGCCTTGCTCATGCTAACCTTTACAGCCTGGGAGCTTCAAGTAAGCAGACGTGATGTAAGGAAAGGGGAAGTTCTTGCTTTCATTTTCACACACGCACACTCTTTTGTAGATTTCTCATATTTCACCATACGCACTTCCCACACAAAAATGCTTTCTTAGATTATGAAATACAAGGAAAAAACTCATGACAGGAAATTTATGGAGAAGCAAATGAAATGTGCCTTCATTGTTTCTGAAAAGTCAACGTTCAATTCGAATCATTTTCATGTATGCAATATATCATTTTATCTGGCTTTTGAGATTCTGTCGTTTTGAGAAGTTTGACAGTGATGTGCCAAGATGAGTGAGTGTGTGCGTGTATTTTGCATTTATTCACTTTGGAGTTTACTGAGCTTGAATCTGTAAATTTATCTTTTAGTTTTATAGAAAAATTGAACAGAAAGTGCAGAGCATTCCCATATACTTCCTCGCCCCACTCCGTTATCCCCTATTATTAACAGCATTAATGTGGTACATTTGTTACAATTGATGAACCAATACTGATATATTATTTTTAACTAAAGTCCACAGTTTACATTAAGGTTCATTTGTTGTGTTGTATAGTTCTATAGGTTTTGACAAATGTATAATGGCATGTATCTACCATTTTAGTATCATAAAGAGTAGTTTCACTGCCCTAAAATTTCCCTGTGCTCTACCCATTCATTTCTCCTTCCCTACCACCCCCAACCCCTGATAACCGCTGGTCGTTTTACTGTCTCCATAATTTTGCCATTTCTAGGTGTCATATATTTGGACTCATACAGTGTGTAGCCTTTTCATATTGGCTTCCTTCACCAGCAATATGCATTTAAGTTTCTTTCATGTCTTTTCATGACTTGATACCACATTTCTTTTTAGTGCTGAAGAATATTCCATTGTATGAGTGTACCACAGTTCATCCATTCACCTACTGAAGAACCTCTTGGCTGCTTCCAAGTTTTAACAATTACGAATAAAGCCGCTATAAACATCTGTGTACAGGTTTTTGTGTGGACCTAAGTTTTCAACTCACTGGGGTAAATACAAAGGAGTGTGACTACTAGATCATATGAGTGGAGTATGGTTAGTTTTAGGTTTGGAAGCAACTGCCACACTGTCTTCCAGAGTGGCTGTACCATGTTGCATTCCCAGAAGCAGTGGGTGAGTTTCTTTTGGTCCACATCCTCACCAACGTTTTGTATGCTGGTGTTTTTTGGATTTTAGCCATTCTAATAGTTGTGGGATAGTATCTCATTGTTAGTTTAATTTGCAGTTACCTAACAACATGATGTCAAACATCTTTTCATAAGGCTATTTGCCATTTGTATAGTATCTTTGGTAAGGTGTCTGTTCACATTTTTTATGCATTTTTAACTGGGTTGTTAGTTTTCTTATTATTGAGTTTGAAGAGCTCTTTGTATATGTTAGATACCAGCCTTTATCAGATAAGTGTTTTGCAAGTATTTTCTCCCAGTCCGTGGCTTGTATTTTTGTGCTTTTAGTAATGACTTTTGAAGAGCAGAAGTTTTCAATTTTAATAAAGTCCAAATTTTTCTTTCATGGATTGTGCTTTTAGTGTTGTATCTAAAAAGTTATCACCAAGCCAAACCAAAGGTCGTCTAGATTTTCTCCTTTGGTATCTTCTAGGAGTTTTATAGTCTTTGAATTTTTTATTTAAGTCTGTGTTCCAGTTTGAGCTAATTTTTATTAGGTGTAAGGTCTGTCTACTTTGTTGTTGTTGTTTGCATGTGGATGTCCAGTTGTTCCAGCACCAGTTATTGAAAAGACTATCCTTTCTCCATTGGATTGCCTTTGTTCCTTTGTCAGACTTTGCCCATGTTTTTTGTTTTGTTTTGTTTTCCCCAATCATCGTTTTCTGTGTTCTTCAGATCAGGTAATGTCTATTTATCTCTTTCAAGGTCACTAAATCGTACTCCTTTCACTTCCATTCTGCTTTTACACTTCTTTTTTTCACACTTGCTTTTTCCCATTTGGTGTATATTTTATTTCAGATATTTTTCAGTTTTAGAATTTTCACTTTGGTTCTTTTTTTTAAGCTTTTTTTTTTCTTTGTGGAGATGTCCTATCCTTTATTATGAACAAAGTTTTCTATACATCCTTGAGCATAGTTATGATAGACAGCTGCTTTAAAATCCTTGTCTGCTAATGCTAACATCTGGGTCATCTTGGGGTTGGTTGCTGTTGATTTTCTTTTATCTCAAGAATGAGTCACACAAGGCATATGTCATTTTATTGCACTTTGCAAATACTGCGGTTTTTTACAAATTGAAGGTTTGTGACAACCCTGCAGTTGAGCAAGTTTATTGGTGACATTTTTCCTACAACGTTTGCTCACTTTGTGTCCATGTTACATTTTGGTGATTCTCGCAATGTTTCAAACCCTCCATCAGCAAAAAGATTACAACTCACTGAAGGCTCAGATGATGGTTAGTATTTATTAGCAATAAAGTATTTTTTAAATTAAAGTATGCACATTTTTTTAGACATAATGTTATTGCACACTTAACAGGCTACAGTAGAAGCGTAACTTTTATAGGCACTGGAAGACAAAAAAATTTGTGCGACTTGCTTAATTGCAGTAGTGTGGAACCAAACCTGTTATATCTCTTGAGATATGCCTGTATTTTCTTGTTTCTTCATACGTGAATAAATTTTGGATTGTGTGGTGGACAGTGCAGGTGAACCATTGTAGGGACTGGATTCTGGTACTTTCCAAAAAGTATTGACTTACCGATTATTTAGTTAACTATTTTTGCAGGCAGTTAATTTGGCTGAACTCAAACTGCACAGTCTGTCTCCCCTGTAGAGGGCAGTAGCTCAGATCTAACTAATTCATTTAGGCTTAGCTGAGGCGGTTGTAGTTGTCCCCACAGGTTCATGATAAAGGATTCAGCCAGATATTTGGGCTCCCCACTGCGGTGCTTTTCTTTCACAGATCCCCCCCTCAGTTTCCAGTATCTGTGATTGCCATAAATTCAGTTCTCTGATTCTTCAAGCCAGCAAGACTTTGAGTTTCTGAATTCTCGCCATTCTATTTAGCGTGGGCTGCTGGCCTTCAAGTTAGAGGTTATAAATAACTTGGACACTCACCCTGTGCTATTCCCTTTTCCCATATCTACTCTACATCTGCCTACTTTTGTTCATTCTCCAAGGACTTGAGGAAGCCATTCTCATATATCCTCAGTGTCTACTGGAGAGTTGGTCAAATAGGAGCATACTAGGCGATGACCAGAGCAGGACTGTACCAAAATCAGGAAGAAGGCAAGCAAAGGGGAAAGGAAAATGAAATAAAGCAAACACCAGCATAAAAATAGGCAGAGACTATTAATCAAGGAGGATTAGAGGATGTTTACAGGAAGGCATAGTGGCCCAGAATAACCCATCTCAGAGGAAAACATTTGTAGTGCACCAAACCAATATTTATGGCATTTTGTAAGTATCTGAATATTTTATCTGTAAAGAACTGATTGGATCTGTTCTAAAGTATAGTTATATATGTTGCTCCTAACATTCTTTTAGACTGTAAATTTCTCAACGTAGGAATGAAAGAAGAAGCTGGAATTTTTTTTAGGATAGATTTAGTTTGTTCCATGGAAAGAGATCTCTAACATAAACAGGAGAATTGTACCCAGATAACAATAGTGGTATAATGTTTGCATGGTCTCAATTATAGGTCAATATCTGGGTACAAACCCATTGTTAAAAGTCCCTTAGTTTCTTGGCAAGATGTGGAAATGTGTGCTCAGATTGTCTTTGGGAAAATTTAGTTAGTGTATACGAAGCATCAAGCATGAAGTCCATCATACAGTAAGTGCCCCTGTATGTTAACTGTAATATTTACCTTGCAGAGTTGTTGGGAAGATTAGATACTATATGACAAGTGATGAGATGTCTAGTACTCAGTAGGTGCCTAATAAATGTTAGTGTGATGAAGCTGCTGTAACCGATGTTGTTCCCCAGTATGCAGGCTTTGCATTTCACAACTCTAATGGGTGCCACTCATATCATAGTCATTGTAGATTTGTTAACCATATATATATATTTTTTTTTTGGCAGGTGGCAGTAGAGTGCCTTGGGAGGGGACAATTTGTATTTATCTGTACAGGGACACCAATGGAACCAATAGTGATAACGCAAATTTGTAGTCTTTGCAATAATAGATGTATAGATAATTCCTCTGTATCCTTTGTGGTTAGGTCAGATGTAGGAAACTTTGTTACATTCTAACTGACACGTTATAATAGGATATTAGCAAATTAGAGTGTCTTTAGGGAAAAACAACCAGAATTAATGTTAAATAAAGAACTGTTGAAAGAATGCTTTTTGTGTATTTGGGAAAAGAGTCATTAGGTCTGGGGAATTTTACAGGTTAGCTGACTCCAGATACTGGAGGGGCTACCCATGATAAAGGCCATCTGTTATGCTCATTTTATTCTAAGAGTAAAAGATAATAGTTCACATTATTTGAAATTTGTAATTTGAGTCATCCTCTGACTCCAGAAGCAGTGACATATGTAATACAAATTCAAAGCAGTGTATGTTCTAGAAGCTATATAATCTGTCTGAGTTTGGAATGCATTTGGATAGAACTACGATTGGTAGATGGAACACTTGGTAAACCAAGCCAGCTCAGTGTGAGAAAAAAAATCGTTAGGTTATGTTGCCTATTCACGGGCACACTGCTTCACACAATGGAGCATGCCTTCTTACTGAAAGTTCTTTAGCAGAAGGTAGAGAGGACCTCTTGTCAGGAATATTCTAGAGGATGTTCTTATAGGATGAGTTGTTGGCCTCAAACAACCTTAAGGTACCTTCTAGTTGGGAGATTCTTTGATTCTATGACTAGGCAATATACTCCAGCAAATAGAAGAAGCCTTTCGTTTTAAACAAATGTTTCTAGCATTGCAAATCATCAGATTATAAGAATGTCATCTAGCCAAAATGGATTTACATCGTAGCCTGCAGTGCAGTTCTTGGTGCCAGCATGTAGGTATTGATCAAAATGATAACTTTTAGTACTGCTTCTGTGAGTGTGACCCATTCTATGTATTATTATGTGACAAAGATTTTTAATTATTTAATTGAAAATTGTACTTTACAATAAGGTTCACAATGAAATTATTTAAAGCATGTTAGGGACACTGACTAACCTGTAGTTGCTCATAAATCTCTCCTCTTTGCAATAGGTGTGTTCATCGTTGCTGCTAAGCGGACACCCTTTGGAGCTTATGGAGGTCTTCTGAAAGACTTCACAGCTACTGACTTGGCTGAGTCTGCTGCCAGGGCTGCCTTGTCTGCTGGCAAAGTCTCGCCTGAAACTATTGACAGTGTCGTTGTAGGCAACGTCATACAGGTTAGTAGTGCTGAAGGGACATTTCATTCCTATTGCTTTCTTTTATCAGTTTCTAAAAATAATTCCTTTAACGTGTTGTAATGGTGTACTAGTTAATAATAGTTGAAGGTATTCATAATTTGAGGAGTCCTCTGACTCCAGAAGCAATGGCATGTATAATTCAAAAGGACATATATAATTCAAAAGAACATATATTCAGAAACTATATATCTATCTGGGATCTGTCTGGGACTTGGGATACATTTTATTGCTTCTTAAATAGCAAATTAATCTCCTTGACTTATTTGAAGTAAATTGGTTCTCTCTGTGTGCCACTAAGGAGGGTAGCAAACCCAAGCAATGCAACACATCTCCCATCATTTCTTACACACAGTAGGAGCTTGGTCAGTGTTTTGTGGGAAATGAGAAGCTCCTTTACCCTCTACCTTGCTATGTATGGTGTACAAAATAGATGATTCATTTGCAGTAATTGAAAGCTGAATATTCCTTCAAAGTGTGGCCATGAAGTGGGGACTGTCTTACTCTTACCAGACCTCATTGGTGGGACGGAGGCTCTACACTGAGTGCATTGCCACTGACAGTACTGGGGCCCTAATCACTGTTCTCCTGACTCGTTAAGGTGGTTCCAGACTGAGAAGGGTGAGGCAGGCTGAGAAGGCTTGAGGCTACTGCCACCTCCTGCGCTGAGCGCTTTCAGCTCTTAGAGCTGGGATAAGGCTCAGAAAAAGGTGCACAGTTGTCCCTTGTGAATAATGCTGCTTTGAACATCAAGTACAAGTTTTTGTGTGGACATAGGTTTTTATTTCCCTTGGGTGTATACCTATGAGTGTAATTGCTAGGCTATATGGTATCTCTACATTTAATTGTTTCAGAAACTTTCAGACTGTTTTCCAAAGCAGCTGAAACATTTTACGTTCATACCTACAGTGTATGAAGGTTCCACTTTTGCCACATCCTTGTCAACACTTGTTATTGTGTGTCTTTTTATTATAGCCATTCTAGTGAATATGAAGTAGTATCTCATTGTGGTTTTAATTTGCCTTTCCCTGATGACTGATGATGTGAACAACTTTTCATTAGCTTGTTGCCATTGCCGTATCTTCTTGGAGAGTGTCTAATTCATATCCTTTTCTCATTTTTTAATTGGGTTATTTGTCCTTTTATTATTGAGTCATAAGTGTTCTTTATATATCCTAGATATGAGTCCCTTAACAGATACATGATTTGTAAATATTTTTCTATACTTTGCTATCTTTTCATTTCTTAATAGTATCTTTTGGAGTATGAAAATTTTTAATTTTGATGAAGCCCAATTTCAGTTGTTGTTGCTCAGGCTTTTGGTGTCATTATCTAAGAATCCATTTCCATATCTAAGGTCATGAAGACTTATCCCTATGTTTTCTTCTAAGTTTTATAGTTTTAGCTCTTACATTTAGGCCTTTGATTTATTTTGATTTAATTTTTATATATGTTTTGAGGTACAGGTCCAAATTCATTCTTCTGCATGTGGCTATCCAGTTGTTCTAGCACTATTTGTTGAAAAGACTATTCTTTCTCCCATTGGATGGTCTTGGCACTGTTATGGAAAATCAGTTGACCATAGACACATGATGTTATTTTTGGACTCCCAGTTCTTTTCCACTGATCTATATGTCTATCCTTTTTATGTCAGTTCCACACTGTCTTGATCATCATTGCTTCTTTGTAAGTTTTGAAATCAAGAAATGTGAGTCCTCCTACTTAGTTATTCATTTCAAAGTTGTTTTGGCTATTCTGGGTCTCCTGCAGTTTGATAATTTTAGAATCTGTTTACCCATTTCTACAAAGAAGTCAGCTAAGATTCTGATAGAGATTGTTTTGAATCTGTAGGTCAATTGAAGGAATATTGCCATGAACATGGCATGTTTTTTCACTTGTATAAATCCTCTTTAATTTTTTCAACAATGTCTTAGAGTTGTCAGAATATGTTTTGCACTTCTTTTGTTAAATTTATTCTTAAGTATTTTATTCTTTTAGATGCTATTGTGAATGGAATTGTTTTCTTATTTCATTTTCAGATTGTTCATTGCAAGTGTATAGAAATGCAGCTGATTTTTCAAAAAAAGAAATGCAATTGATTTCTATATATTAATTTTATATCCTGAAACCTTGAACTCATTTATTACTTCTAATCATTTTCTAGTTGATTACTTAGGATTTTTTATATATAACATTATGTCATCTGAGAGTAGAAATAGTTATGTTTCTTTCTTTCCAATCTGGATTTCTTTTATTTATGTATTTATTTTTCTTACCTAATTGCTCTGTCTAGAACCTCTGATGTTGAATGAAAGAGACAAAAAATGGATATCCCTGTCTTGTTCCTGATATTGTGGGGAAAGCGTCCAGTCTTTCACCATTAAGTATGATTATATGGGTTTTTCTAGATGCCCTTTATCAGGTTGAGGAAGTTCTCTTCTTTTCCTAGGTTATTGAATGTTTTTATCATGAAAAGGTGTTGGATTTTGTCAAGTGCTTTTTCTATGTCAATTGAGATGATCGTATGATTTTTGTTTTTTATTCTGTTGATACATTGTGATATATTAATTGACTTTCAGGTGATGAAACAACCTTACATTTCTGGATGACCCTTACACTGGTCATGGCATATAATTCTTTTTGTACATTGCTGAATTCTGTTTGCTAGTATTTTGTTGGAGATTTTTATATCCATATTCATAAGAGATATTAATCTGTACTTTTTTGTGATGTCTTTGTCTGGTTTTGATATCAGGATAATTCTGGCTTCATGATGAGTTGGGAAGTGATCCTTTTCTATTTTTTAGGAAGAGTTTGTGAATAATTGGTATTGATGCTTCTTTAAATGTTTGGTAGAATTCAGTAATGAAGCCAGTCTGGGCTTTTTTGGTGAGTAGTGTTTTGATTACTAATGAATTCAGTCTTCACTTGTTATAGGTCTATTCATATTGTCTATTTTTCTTTGAGTTGGGTTCGGTAGTTTGTGTCTTTCTAGGCACTTGTCCTCTTTACCTAAATTATCTAATTTATTGGCACACAACTGTTCATGGTAGTCAATTCTCGTTATTCACAGTAGTTATGTTTTATATAGTTGCCGTGTACACCGAATTAGCAGCTATTGAACCACTGCTCCCAGGGGAAACGACAGGGTGAGGTTCCTGTGAGCCTCCGGTCACAACATTTTTGTTAACTGATCAGTACATAACCTTGTTTTATATATGTTTCTATTTAAGGACACTGTATTTAATATATATTGTTGATTCATTAGCATTAAACTCACAGCCAACAGCACTATCACTCATGCCTGAATGAAGTTTATCTAACACATATTTTCTCTGTGAGGCACGTCACTGCCTTCTTGCACTTAGGGATACTGGAGAGCAAGGACTTCAGCATTATATACTTGGGGGCCATTTTAAACAGTAAAATCGCCCACAAGAAGCACAAAAATGCATAAAACTAAATAGACTGCAGGAAGATCACTGTTTCTAGGATGAGAGCTGAAGCAAGAAGGCAGTGTCCCCTTGTTCATCCTTAGCTAGGAACGTGCATATCAGGCAGCTAAAATTTTTCTCCACTCTGCACATGTCTGCAAATGACCACAAAAGTGCTGCAAGTATTGATTTTGGGGGTTACAAATAAATTTTAGCAAGTAGGTGAATTTGCAAGTATATAATCTACACATAATAAGAATCGACTATATTTTGAACTTATATATTTATGTCCTGCCTATTTTGAGAGGTGTTAAGGTTCTTGGTGTTAAAGACACTAATGTACCTTTATTGTAGAGAGAGCTAAAGCAAATTTGATAAAATGTAAAGAATTGGTCCATCAAGGTAACTTTAGGGTGTTCATTGTACTATTCTTGTAACTTTACATTTTATCAAATTTGCTTTAGCTTTCTCTACAATAGAAGCTGTTGTTATTGTTAAAAAAAAAAAAAAGTTGTTTCATCCCTTCTTACTCAAAGTGTGTGGTCCTTGGACCAGCAACATTGGCCTCACCAAGGCAGTGGTTAGAAATGCAGAATCTCAGGTAGTCCTAGACCTATTTACTGAGAACCTACATTTTAACAAGATGCCCCAGTATGCATTTTAAAGTTTGGGAAGCAGTAGTCTAGTCCCACCTCTTATTCTCCTGACCATTGTTCATCTCTCCCCTTCCTAGGTCAGCCAGCCTCAGCCTTGGTTACACATTACAATCACCTGGGTGCTATTAAAAGTAACTACTGATGCATGTGGCCACCTCCAGCCTTTCTGGTTTAATTGGTTTGGTTAGGAGCTTGAGCATCACTGTGTTAATAAAGCTTCCTCGGTTATTCCACTGTGCAGCCAAGGTTGAGAACCATAGCCTCTAATGCTTCCTCTGTTAAAGAACGTACTACTTCAAGATAGCGTATTCCATTTTTAAACAGTTCTAATTGTTATGAAATTCTGTGTTCTACTGAGGATTTAATATAAGGATTTCTCATACTTTGTTTAAAATCGAGTTGGCCGAATTACAGTTTTTATTCCAATCATTAACACGTATTATATAAAATATCCTGTACCTGTATGCATTGTGTCCTACCTTAGAGCCATATAATTTATAATTTTTGAAAAATTGTGAACATTTTACTATATTGTGTCCTTCTTCTTAATTCCTAGATATATAGAGGAAATTCTTTTTCTTTCCCTCTGTTCCAGACTTCTTCAGATGCTATATACTTGGCAAGACATGTTGGTTTGCGTGTGGGAATCCCAAAAGAGACCCCAGCTGTCACTGTTAATAGGCTCTGTGGCTCCGGTTTCCAGTCCATTGTGAATGGATGTCAGGTATAGGTAACATCTTATTTAATTCTCTGAAAATATTAATAGTTATTAGAGGAAATGCCTCACTTCAATATAACACTGTAGGTTTTTAATTTTATAGTACTTATTAGGAGAGGTCAATATTTAATTTTTCTTGGAAAAATATTCATAGAAAATAGTTTCTTAAAAGCTAGTAATGAACCTTGAAAACATTATGCTAAATGGAATAAGCCAGTCACAAAAGGACAAATACTGTTTGAGTCCACTTATATGAGATCCCTCAAGTGGTCAGATTCAGAGAGACAGAAAGTAGAATGGGGATTGTTGGGGCTGGTGGGGAAGAGAGAATGGGGAGTTAGTGTTTAGTGGGTATGGGGTTTCAGTTTGGAAATTGAAAAAGACTTCTGGAGATGGATGGTGGTTGGTTGCATAACAGTGTGAACGTACTTAATGACCTGTATACTTAAAATTGGTTAGAATGGTAAATTTTATGTTATGTGTATTTTATCACAGTTTTTAAAAAGCTAGTCATGACTGTCATTCTTATTGAGTGCTTCCTATGTGCCAGACACTGTGCACATAGATTTACATTCAATATCTCATTTAATCTTCACAACTGTCCTATGAGGCAAGAACTATTGTTCCCATTTTACAGGCAAGGAAACTGATTATTAAAGGCATTAAGGTTACTAAGTTGTAGAGGAAGAATCTGAACCCAGGTCTGTGAGAGTGCCAGGCAAGGCAGTTTGAAACACTGAATAAAGACTCTAAGATGAGGATGGGAGCTGGAGAATTTAGAGGATGATAAGAAATGTATTTTATTACAAAGGAACTGAATGATACTATTGATAGAAGTACAAACTAGCATAATCTCTTCAAGGGATAGTTGGGCAAATACATTTGTTCCCTTGAGCATAAGGAAAAGGGATATAGTAAAATCTAAGTTGTCAAAGTCTTCATGTTATTACAAAATAAAAGATAAAACTTTGTAATGAATAAATCACTTTCAGGTTAATTTATTTCTGTAACAATATATCAGGTAGTGACCCTGATTTTCCTAGCAGTCATTTTAAACATCAGGCTCTTGGAGGGTTTTTTGTTTTTCTTTTTTCCCTCCAGATTTAAAGTGATTTATTTTCTAATAATAAAAACGTAACATGTTCATTATGGGGATTTTAGAAAAATAGAGAAGAAAAAAAATAAAAGTACCCTAAATTCCTACCTCTAGAGAAGGTCACTGTGTGAATTTTAGATATATATTTAAATAAATAATTGGGTACTTAGATTACATAATTTTTTACTTCATATCTCAACTTTTTTCTAATTCTTTCTTCCTCAGTCATTCCTGATGACTTTTGGAAGACTCCTTAGACCCGGTCTTTTTCCTTTTGGCTTAGGGATGAGCAAACTACAGCCCATTGGCAAATCTTGCCTGCTGCTTGTTCTTCTACAGCCTACAAGTTAAGAATATTTTTTACATTTTTAAATAGTTAAAAAATTAAGTGAAGAATAGTATTTTATGACACATGAAAATTATATGAAATTTAAATGCAAGTGTCCATAAATGAAGTTTTATCGGAACACAGTTACACTCATTTTATAACTGTGTTATCAAAGTTTTTCTGTTAGGTTACAAGATTCATAAACCTCTCTTGTTTCTGGAACCTCTCTCAGGCTAAGCTTTGAGGAAGAGAATCAGTAGCCATATTAGTTTGCCATTTAATTTAAAATTGTACATTTATCTTTAACTTGCAAAAACTTGGTTAATTATTGGTACTGAAAAAGTCCTTGTTTTTTTTTAATTTTTGTTATAGGCATTTTTAATGTCTTCATAAAACCTCAGAGCTATAACATTGTTAATTATGCTTATTGTTGAAATAACATTGAGGTAAATGTTTTGATAGTGTACCCATGTAACAAGGGGTTTATAATATTTTAATTGCATAAATTTTAGTAATCAGAACTTTCACTGGACATTTGATACAGAATTGAAGGACAACTTGGCTCATTTACTAATCAATTTTGTTCATTTATAAGGGGCAAAATCAACTTATTTTCTTGTTTCTTTATATTACTGGACAGTCGTTCCTCAAATTTCAATAAGCTTCAATTTCATTTCCTGAATTCAGCCTCTGGGGTGCTGCACGGCTGTTGTAAAAATAACAGCAATTACATGTACAACCAGTGCAATGAAATATCCAGGAGCATGTTGAGTGTAGCTGCAGACAAGTGATTGATAAGCTGCAATTAGTAACATGCTATTTTTCGTGTAAATGTACAAAAACTAGTTATACGAGTTCACCTTTGATTTTCTTTGAGAACTTATACAGAACATTCCTAAAACATACATTTACAAACTTTACAATATGTTAAATAATTTATGGTTCAGGTTCATCTGTATACTGCTTTTTTTTTTTTTTTAATTATAACCATAGACAGCCGGTCACACAAAAGCTACAGATCACCACAACGAGATGCATGCAAATCTTGAATTCTTAGAGGATTTTTTTTAAAGATTAAACTTTCTTTTTAACCCATTATATAATAAAGAGAACAAGCTGATCAGGATAGATGACTCCATAAATCTTTCTAATTATTTCACACTAAAAGTAAAATTTGAATCTACTTTATTAACAAAAAAGCAAAGGTACATGCAGAATCCTCAACTATAGCGTGTATTATCACACCACAATGTTAAATGTAGCTATTTTAACTGCACAACTTTTGGCAGCTAAAGCTGCATATATTATCCCACACGGATGATAGAAGGAGGCCAATCTTAACATATGCAAAGGAAATTCACAGCTTCAATAATATTCATTGCGATAGTTAATAACTCTGAAATTTCAAAACATTTTCTATTTTTTCTAATCTGAATCATCATGAATCAGGTTCCAATTTTTTCTCTTTTAGTCCTTAGAGAAAATAAATATTAGCTGGACCCTGGTGAAAACTCATTCTTTAACTCGGTCTGTAAAATAACATCTTGATCTTGATGAAAATGAACTAGGTCTAAATATACAGCTTTGGGGATTTCCTCAACTCCTTTTCATTTTGTCAATGTCTTTTTAAATTGTGGAAGTCAAATATAGACTTTGTTCTGAGCCATATGACTTGGAATTTTGTTCAAATGGAATCAAATTTGAATTAGGAACAAATTAATCTAATCTACTTTTATTACAGGTGTAGGCATACTACATACACAAGCTTCCATCATTGTCAAATATAGTAACATAATGCTATGGATGATAACTAGGATTGTCCTATTCTGAATCCATATAAATGAATGGTCTGCTTGTTTTGATATAACAAAATGTGGAAAATGTCTTAAAAATCGCATTTTCAAAAATAGATAGGAATATAAATCTAATTAATGTAATATATATTATAGTGGAGTAGGAGAGAATCAAGATGATTAAATGTTTCTGTAACCTCAAGGTAAGATTTTACTCCTCTGCCTAACACTACTAAATTCTTCCCTTTAAAACACAGGAACATTGTTATTACTAAATTTTCTGAGGGACTAGGCTAAATGCAGTTTCATCATTAATGTTATATTCATATTTAAGTATGACTCTAAGAAGAATATTGCTCTGACTTCTTTTAATACTATTGTTCCTGAGCCTTTAAGTCTTAAATTTCTGGTGGTTTCTTCAAGGCACTTAGATTTTACACACTGTCTTACTAAATATTGGGAAACAACAACACTAATAATGATTATTACTCTTGATTCCTTTGTGGTTGGAAAGAAAATTTGTGTGAAATTGACTTTGAACAACTTTCCACCAAGGAAATCATGTTTTTAGGCTTTTGTTGCTATTAATTTTACCCTTTCTTCAGCATACTTAGCTCATATGTTTTGCTTTTTCACCAAGCTTATAGCAAAGATGAATTGCTTGGCCAATTATCATATATGTGATGGCAGGACTGGTAAGACAAGAGAGGGAAAAAGTATATAAAAAAAGAGATTGGCATAATAGAGAATGAAAGTGGTACTTATATATTGATAACTGTATCCCTCCTTAAATGAGTTTGACATTATTACAGATCAGACAGAATTTTCCTTTGCTACTGTCTATATTTTATCACAGCTATAAATTTTGAGACCTTACGTGATTTTCATTACTGTAATGGGACAAAATATTTTATATTTACATTCTTGGGTTGGAGTCCATTTTGCTTTATAAAATGGGTGTATTCAAAATAGTAATTTATTTATTTATTTATTTAAACGTCTTTATTGGAGTATAATTGCTTTACAATGGTGTGTTAGTTTCTACTTCATAACAAAGT